TGCTTTCTCCCTGTTGCCTGTCATTTCCTTACCATCTTCTCTCTTTAGTGGGCCTACAGTTTCCTTGACTTTTTTCTTGTTAATGTGTTGATAGAAATTTTTTTCCCAAGTTTTTTATTAATTTTCCAATATTACATTTACATATCTGAAAAGTAGCGTGGCGGCTGAGCACAGTAATTCCATTACATTTGAATATCATCAGTACAAATCTCAAAATATTACAACAACTAATTCCCCCTCTTTCCCCATAATATCTACTGTCTCATATTTGGACCAATACAGTTCTTATTCTATCAATCAAACAAAAAATACCTTTCTAGTATTCATCAATAATCTTCAGTCTATACATATCTTAATTGATTTGACATTCCATCTTTTAGACAATAACCTAGTAAATTTTTCTTAACTTTAATTTCCCATTGATATTTAAATTTAATGTTTAATCTTTTATCATTTCCAAATTTTAAATGACCCAAATTTCTAAGTCTCCTATCTCGTATTTGGGGCTAATAATTTTTTTCTTCTTTCTATTTCCTTCCTTCCTTCCAACCCCCCCCCCCCAAAATAAAAAATAAAATAAAAACCAGTCAGCATTTGTACCACAAACCAATATACAAATTTAATTATTAATATTCATACTTCTAGGTTTTACTTAACTTTTATCTCAACTCATAACAATCTTAAATTCAAATCTTAGTTATTTTTAAACATTCAACCTTTTAGCCAATCAGTGACCTAATAATTAATTTTCCCTTAATATTTTAATTTAACATTTAATATTTTCCCAAATTTTTAATTAAGCACAATTCCTTTATCACAATTCCTCATACAATCTAATATTTAAAATACACACCTTATATATAAATTCTACCATCTATCTTAACAAACAAAAGTAAGGTTCTACATTTAGGCAAGAAAAACCAAATGTACAGGTATAGTATAGGGGGTACCTTGCTCAATAGTAGTAACTGTGAGAGGGATCTCGGAGTCCTAGTGGACAATCATTTAAATATGAGCCAGCAGTGTGCTGCAGCTGCCAAAAAAGCCAACACAGTGCTAGGCTGCATTAACAGAGATGGATAGAATCAAGATCACATGGAGTATTAATACCACTTTACAATGCCTTGGTAAGGCCACACTTGGAATACTGCATCCAGTTTTGGTCACCATGATGTAAAAAAGATGTTGAGACTCTAGAAAGAGTACAGAGAAGAGCAACAAAGATGATTAGGGGACTGGAGGCTAAAACATATAAGGAACGGTTGCTGGAATTGGGTATGTCTAACGAAGAGAAGGACAAGGGGGGACATGATAGCAGTGTTCCAATATTTCAGGGGCTGCCACAAAGAAGAGGGAGTCAAGCTATTTTCCAAAGCTCCTGAAGGCAGGACAAGAAGCAATGGGTGGAAACTAACCAAAGAGAGAAGCAACCTAGAACTAAGGAGAAACTTCCTGACAGAACAATTAACCAGTGGAACAACCTGCCTCCAGAAGCGGTGAACGCACCAACACTGGAAGTTTTTAAGAAGAAACTGGACAGCCATTTGTCCGAAATGGTATAGGGTTTCCTGCCTGAGCAGGGGATTGGACTAGATGACCTCCAAGGTACCTTCCAACTTTATCATTATTATTATTATTATTAATTATTATTATTATTATTATTATTATTATTATTATTATTATTATTATTATTATTATAAACTAATAAAACAAGCCCGAGCCTACAAAGATGAAGTGAGAAAAGCTAAGGCTCATAATGAACTAAGGATTGCGACAAAAGTCCAAAATAACAAAAAAAGCTTCTTTCAACATGTAAAAAACAAGAAAAAAGTGAAGGAAACAATTGGTCCATTAGTGGGTGAAAGTGGCAAGAAGGTGACAAGCAATAGGGAGAAAGCAGAATTATTTAACTCGTTTTTTTGTATCTGTCTCTACACAAAGGGAAAAAACAGATCAACCTATCAAAAATAGTGCCATAAAAAACAGAATAGAAACACAAGTTAAGATAGGCAAGAAAATGGTAAGTGAGCACCTGTCCAGCCTAGACGAGTTCAAATCACCAGGACCAGATGGATTACACCCCAAGGTTCTCAAGGAACTGGCAGATGTGATCTCAGAACCACTGAGAACCACTATATTTTTCAAAGATCTTGGAGCACTGGGGAACTACCACAGGACTGGAAAAGAGCTGATGTAGCTCCCATCTTCAAAAAAGGGGGAAAAATGGATCCAGGAAATTACAGACCTATCAGCCTGACCTCAATACCTGGGAAGATTCTGGAAAAGATAATCAAACAACAAATCAGCGAACACCTAGAGGCAAACAAAATCACTACTAAAAGCCAACATGGGTTTGTCAAAAACTGATCATGCCAGACAAACCTTATTGCATTCTTTGACCAAGTGACAAAATTAGTGGATGCTGTGAATATAATTTACTTAGACTTCAGTAAGGCATTTGATAAAGTAGATCACAACCTACTACTTGATAAGATAGAAAAATGTGGGTTAGACAGCATCACAACCAGATGGATTCGTAGCTGGCTGACCGGTCGTACTCAGTGTGTGGTCCTCAATGGAGCTGCATCTACATCAGGGGTGTCAAACTCAATTTCATTGAGGGCCGCATCAGCATTGCGGTTGCCCTCTGGGCCACAAAATGGTTTCATGTGGGTTGCGAAGCCATCCTGGAAACAGTGAGGGAACGGCTAATGTACAATTTTGTGGTGGCTATCTATGCTGAAACGCATTGAGTCTTAGCTTCACAAGGTCATCTGGAAACAAGGGACCAGCCCCTGCTGCATCAGCCCCGCCCCCTGGGTGCATGCTTGCCCAAATTCACCACCACCACCACCACCATTTCCCTATTTCATAGGATTTGTTAAATGAAATATGCAGGGGAAGTTTTCGGAGACATCCTTTTATCCGGGATGATCATTTTATTCCACTTACATTGAAGAATTTAATTTCAGTTGTTCTTTGGTTTTAATTTCTAATGGGCAACTATTAACTTACTTAACCTGCTTCTTATTACATTTTGAGATCCAATTTGATATAGTGGTTAAGGCACTTTGATGGAAAGGAGGAAACCAAATTCTACTTGTGCCTTAGGCACAAAGCCAACTGAGTGATCTTGGACTAGTAACTTTTTATCAACCGTAAGGAGGTAATGACAAATCACTTCTAAAAAAACCTTACTAATAAAGCTGCAGGGACTTATCCAGGCAGCCTGCAAGAATTGGACATGATTGAAAGACAGGGGAAAAATATTTTATATAAGAATGTTTTTTTCCTAATTCAAATTAAACATTCACTGAGAACCAATATAGAATTATATACAAAATGATGTCTAGTATTAGGACAGTTAACTACATTGACTTCATTTTACAATATTACTGTTGTCCTGTGTTATTTGAAGTCTTATACAATTTGCACCCTTTCAGTGGACCAGACAACATACTTACAATATCAGAAAACTATTTTTAATCATATGCAATTAAATTTCCTATATGCTAGGAAGTTTAGTGTATTGTACTAGAATTGTTAAAGCTAAAATGGGATTCTCATGTATCTGTAATATCCTTGGCATAATTGCATCAATTATCTGGTGGGTTCCCTTTTGTTAAGCTCATTCTTTTGTACATTTTAGATGTATCAAACTGTCATTTGGTTTCTATTTAATCTTTAAGGTAGGTATATGTAATACCATGAAGTTCTTTATAAGCTTACTTGTACCATTTTTTCCCTTTTAACATGTTTCTTCTGTAAGTGCAACAATAACTATATATACTTGTTCTCGTTTAATGTCTAAAATAGAAAATAGAAAATAAGTCTGTTGACAATAGATTTAGAAAGCATAAGTGTAAATGTTGAAATACAGTTTTCAATTTTTCATCGTGATTTATAAACATGCCATACATTTATTCTGTGATTCTTTCCACAAAAAATTGCCATATTTTGGCTGCAAAAAAATCAGTTGGCAGAAAAATATTCACTTTGTTGTATCTTGCTATTGCCATCTAGCAGTTATTTAGATTTTTGCAGTAAAGGTAGACTATATAATCACCATAATGTTGAAAAAGGCTATTTATACTATGAAATCCAAACTATGAAAAAAAATAGCCAGATAGGAACATGACTTGAAATTAAGATACATTAGAAAACTTAATTTGTGTAAGTATGCTTCCTATGCTGTAGTTTCCCTAGATCTTCAATTTGTATTAACTTGCTGCATGAAAATTTTAATTTTTAAAAATAATGTAGGGAAAAAACACCTATTCTGCCAGAGAATATTGCATAACATTTTGAATTATTCTGAATGGTAGAGGATGGAATATAAATTCCAATGAATATAAGTCCTTCCATTTTCCACAATTCAGTCAGAATTGAAGAAGCTTCTTGGATAAGAAGCTAAATGTTTTCAAGGAAAAACAACATCTAATTTACCTTTTGAAAAAGCACATTTGGGATGCATGGTGAAATATATATATTCAAATTATAATATAGAAAATGCAATAAATAAATCAGCAATTGTATTTGTATTGTATTGGAATATATTTCCAAGAGTATGAGAACCTATTTTTTTCTTTGCAGACACAAGTGTAGCAAATCCTGAGGGAATTCTTACACAGGGAATGGGAATCAGCTAAAATTGATGCAAACAAAAAAAGTGTTGATGGTATTTTCAGTAATCCTACCATAAAAATAATTGAAACTCACAGCAATATAGTCATAATGAAGCTTACATTATTGAGAGTTTTTTTACACGTAATTTTTTTTACAATGCATGATGCATACCCACTAGCTTATTTCTCTTTCTTTAACTTTAAAAGTTAATGCGAGTTTTGTATCTTCTATTCAGTCTTGATTCCTAGTGACTGCATATGGGCTCTTCTGGCAACTTAATACAAAATTTAAACAAATCCGGAATCTCTTTTTCACATTAAGAAAACAGTGGCTAATACAAGACTGCTGGAGAAATTACTATATATATTGGACTATATATATATATATTATTAATACAGTTAGTCCTTATGACAGCAATTGGAATCAGATCTGCCATCACTAAGAGAGACGGTCATAAAGTGCATTATCACATCTACTTCGTTTAGCAGCAACAATCTAGACACTCCTAGTTGTTATAACTCCAGACATGCAGGTCATTAGATGGAAAGAGGAAGAAATCCTAGGTAAAGAATGCAGAGGTACCACAGGAAATTGGAGGACACCCAGAGTTGGAGTGGGTGGGTGCCGTTTAATATGAGCTTAGGAAAGCTGGAAAAAGAGTGCCAGGGTGCGTGTGCAAGTGCAGAGTCTGGGGAAAGGGGAACGTATATGTGTGCAAGTACAGGGAGGCCAGGAAAGTGGACATGGTGTGTGTGCATGTGTGCAGCCCCAGGGATGCCAAGGAAAAGGCATGAGGTGTATGTGTTTTTGCAAGTGCAGGGGAAGAGGGCACAAAATGTGTGTATGCTAGTGCAGGGAGACCAGAAAAAGAGGACATGAGGTGAGTGCAGGCAAATGCAGGGAGGCCAAAAGGGCACAGGGTGTATGTAAGTGAAGGAGGAAGGAAGATATGTGCATGAAAGTTTGGAAAAGCCAGGAGGCAGGAAGACTTCCCAAGGAACTTATACAATTGCACATGATGGTAGACACTGCAACTGGTCATAAGTGAGAGCTGGTTGCTAAGTGCTCAAATTGTGTTCATGTGACTACAGGGGCGTTGCAATGGCCAGAACTTTGAGCACCGTTCTTAAGTTCCTTTGTCATAACTTTGAACAGTCACTGAACGAATGGTCATAACCTGAGGAGTTCTTGTACTGCAGTCTTCCATTCTCCAACAGAAATGGAAGGAAATGTTAACGAACTACAATTTATCTGCAAAATGTTTTATTAAAAAGCAAGTTATTTGCCATATCATAATGCTATGGAAAGAAATGTTGGCCATAAAGACTATCATTGTTTAAAAGTTACTCTAAAAAAAAAAAAAGCATTTGGGACAGACAAATGTTCCTGTATGCACAAGAGGGAAATGGGAATTACAATGAACAGTTTAATATAACTCTGCTAGTAGATTAAATTATTCTTTACCGCAGCCTATTTTTAATGACCCAAGAAAATAAATGCTGAGAAAAGAGATTATATAAGCAGGGTGTAGCTTGGCAATGAATCAAGTTAACTGAGCTTCCTGCAAAAAATATTTTCAATTCTTTGATATTAATAATTTCAATTATTAATAATTAATAATTCAATTCAATTATTAATAATTTTAATTGAGAATAATCATTCAAGTTAAAACACCATACATGTTTTACAATACATATATTGACACAAAGTACTTAACTCTGGATCCTAGCTTGAAATTTACGTATTACATTTTACAGAAAACAAAATTTCTTCAATAGCAGAGTGTGTAGTAAGCCTTCTACAAAGAGACAAAATATACTTAACATGAAGATGCCATAGGAATATGAACTTATATATTGCTGTTACATTCCAAAGCTCTAGGTCAGATTTATGGTTATGCTTATTGAATTAGCATAAGAATCTTAAGAAATTGCAAATCAGAGTAGTGGCTATGAGTTCTAACAAGAATCACTTTAATCAGTTTCTATGGAGTATATTGTAATATGCAAAACAGTTACATTGAGATTTTTATGATGAATAAAGATAAAATCCTTGATATCACAGTTTGAAATCATATGAAAGCATGTATTTCTTGTTCTTACTATTGTATAGAATATAGAATATACTTCTGCAACTGTTCAGTTTATCATCTTAGGGTTCTTTCAGAGACTCTGCAGCCAATTTCATTTGCTGAAAGGAAATAAACATAAACATTAGAAAAATTATAAACACCATCCATTTATACACAGAATGAAGAAAAAAAATAGTTGTTTCAACAATATTGCCACAAATTGTACTTTGAAATCAATGAAAAAAATGCATCATTCTCCATTCTGCCCCAATATAAATGGAGAGGTCATAGATGGCTGAGACAAGAATAAATGGAACATTTAAGAATGTATATATTGGTGCCAGCAGTGTTAACATGACACAGTAGCAGACAAGCAGTCAGAATAGCTTTCTACATATTTAATATATGGACAATCATGTTTGATTGTATGTCTGAAATGTAACTGCTCTGTTATAGTTTTCTAATCAATTTTAATATGTGTATTATTGTCTATTATTATTTCATTATAGTCAGGAATAGCAATAGCACTTAGACTTATATACTACTTCACAGTGCTTTACAGCCCTCTCTAAGCGGTTTACAGAGTCAGCATATTGCCCCCAACAGTCTAGGTCCTCATTTTACCAACCTCAGAAGGATGGAAGGCTCACCAACCTTGAGCTGGTGAGAATCGAACTGCCAAACTGCTGGCAGTGGCAGGCAGCAGAAGTAGCCTGCAATACTGCATTTTAACCACTGTGCTACAATGGCTCTGATATGGAAGACCGGAAATGAATATCAGTTTCTAAATCATAATTTCACAGATGCAGCTCAAATTATCAAGCCTAAAAATTTGCTCTATACCAGCCTTTCTTGAGTAGTCCATGCATATAGTGTAGTGAGATTAAGCTAATAATTTATGATCAATCTGTGTATTTTAGATAATTCATAACTTTGGTATAACATAAACCTGTGACAGTTTTCAAAAGGAACCAAACCCTGCTAACTCCTCAATCTCCCATTATTTGACAAAAAGCGCAGAAAGTAAAAATCATATATTTTAAGAAATGGTTTTGCTAAGTGCACTTTATTGTATTTACATTTTACTTTTTACAAGCTCACTTCCCAGCTTGCCTGCAATATGTGAGTCTCAAATCTGAAAGTATATATGGGAATCATTCATGTTTATAGAACAAGTTCTTAGCAGCCTCTTCCCAGTATAGGAATCATTTGATCTGTGCTTGAACCACTAGGCATCTCTGTTTCTTGTTTAAAACAGAAACAGTTTTAATGATAAATGCTCTTTTCTACATGTGGACCATTAACTATTAATAAAAAGGGCAGGACAAATAATGGGTGGAATGTCATTAAAGAGAGATTCAGCCTAGAATTAAGGAGTAATTTCCTGACAGTGAGAAGACTTTAATTAGTGGAATAGCTTGCCTCCGGAAGTTGTGGGTGCTCCATCACTGGAGGTTTTCAAAAGACTGGACAGCCATTTGTCCGAAATGGTATAGGATCCCCTACATGAGCAGGGGGTTGGCCTAGAAAATCTTCAAGACCTTCCAACTCTATTATTCTATGTTCTATTATTCTATGATTAATTAAGAAATTGGTAGAAAATATTTCTCACTATGAACATACTGAACACATCTGCTGTACACTGCTCATAGTCACTTCTTGTGAAATGGGTGGCTATAAAATAAATAAAATTTCATAATTAATAGAGGGCTCAACATAAAGGTGATGGAAAGCAGATGGTGTGTTCTAAGCTGCTATTTAAATTGTTGGTTGCTGCTTTTATTCTGTTTTTAATTGTTATCCATTCAGACACATATATATGAGATGGGTGGTCATATAAATTTATTACACAAATAATTAAGTTTCCATATATATGTAATTTCTGAGAGGACAATTAGAAGTAAATTCAGAAGACTCTGTAAGATTGTACAATGTCCAAAATACACTTTTACTTTTATTTTTGATTGTTACGGAATAAGTAATTCATGGAAGAAAAAGAAAACTAATTTAGTTAGGATGTTCCAAGTTCTAAAGAGTAGTTTTCTCAGATTTGAATAATGGTATCTGTAACCAGTTCTATATAATATCATGTCCTAATCAAAACCTTTAATTATTGTTGGAAGACTCTACAAATGTATCTGAGTAGGTTACCCAAATTCTGCCTAAGCATATCTCTTCCCTCTCCCCATCTTTGGATAAATATTTTTATAAGTCTGATGCTACGTGCTCTGTTATATTTTTACCTATTTTTAGTTGAACAACTGGCCAAGAAAATCATGTAGAGTCTTGCATGTCAGTACTCACAACTTACCCAGAGTTATTTATAAACACTAAATTTCTAAAATGGCTGGCTAAGAACCAAAGCTCAATTAAAACAAGAAAATATTTAACGATGGTCCTGAATTTATCAAGGCAAGATTTGAACTGCTGAGCTCCATGATGATATACAAGTGATTCTAGAAAATACCTATCAGGAAAAAAATGTTCAAAGTCATTCGTTTTAATTGTATATTAATCTTTAAAATACTCTGATTCACACAATTTTAAATATTAACAAATAACTGAAATCAGATATCTTCCTCTTGGAACTGACGGATAAACAATTGGAAAAAAACTTTGTTTTTGTATATGATAACCACAGCAAGATTACTTGCATGAATAAATATATAAATATTTATCACTATCCACAATAGAGGTATGCAGTGCTTTTTTTTGTTAAAAAAAAAAGGTGCCAGAACTCACACACATCATACAATCCGCCTTGCCTACCCTACAAGGTTTACCTTTGTAGTTGAAAAAAAAAACCTTCAATTTTTAGTGTATCTAAAAAATTAGGATTTTGTTCAAGGTAAGTTAATACTATTAATGTTACCATGCACTGTGTAGCTTTAAATTACAAGAAGGCATTTTATTAATCTTTTGGGACATTTACCACTGGCACACCCATTTAGTTTAATGAGAGGAAATGTCAGTTTTCTATGTGGAATGAAATTGGCCCAATAAAACAAAATTTGGTTGCTTGTAAAAGATTGGATTATTTTTAAGAAGTTGTCAAACAAGGTGAAAAAATTTACATTTGGAGTTTAATATGGATATTGACTTGAAACAAATTAAAGTTGAAACTTTGTCGGTGAACAGATTACTTTTAATTTGCCTTTTTAAGTTAAACCCAATTTAATAAATAGACCTGATTAAACCTCATACTATAGGTCTACCTTTACATCTAACCAATACATAATTAATATATTATTATTATTATTATTAATATCTCCAAATCACAAGACATTGGCTTTATTCTTATTCTTCCCCTCTGCAGTTTGAATATAAAGTATAAAAGACTAAAAAGAGATTTTCGTAGACATCCCAGCCTTTGAACTACCCAAAGAACCGAAACAGCAAAGTTTCGCTGTCGGGCAAACTTTCACACCAGTCGCCTTTCTTTCCTCTCGCTTTGCCTCTTTTTTAACCTCACACCCCACTTTCTGTAAGGGAAGGCAAAAGGCTCGCTCACCCTCTCGTGAAAGATGGCCTCCATGTTTATGTGTCTCCCACCGCCACCATCGGCTTCCACATTACATGGTCCGACCCAGCCAATGAAGCCTGGTTGTGGTGCTCCGGCACCTCATGGCTCCTCCTAGAGGAGGCAAACAGCGCCGGAGGAGAGCCCACTTACACTGTACCACCAGAGGGGCATTTTCAAAAACAAACAAGGATAGGAAGGGAAACAATAGGAAAAGAATGCAACTTTGGAAAATCCATCGAAAAAAGATGCCGGAACTCTGTTTCCGGTGTATTCTATGACGGTCGTATGTACTCTACGCATGGTCACTCAAGCCCTTGTTGTTTCCTGCCTGGACTATTGCAACGCTCTCTACATGGGGCTCCCCTTGAGGTGCACCTGGAGGCTCCAGCTAGTTCAGAATGCGGCCGCGCGGGGGATCCTGGGGGCCTCTAGATACTCCCATGTAACACCTCTCCTGCGCAAGCTGCACTGGCTGCCTGTGGCCTTCCGGGTGCGCTTCAAGGTGTTAGTAACAACCTTTAAAGCNGGCGTAGTTTGATTATGTTTTAGTGGGGGTTTTGTATGGGGTATTTTAGAGCAGGCCTGTTATTTAATTTGATTTTAGAACAGAAACTTGCGTATATTTATCGTGGTTTTTATTATCGCCTGTTCACCGCCCTGAGTCCCGTAAGGGAGATAGGGCGGTATATAAATTCAATAAATAATAATAATAATAATAATAATAACTTTTAAATTGGACATATTTAAATATTTCGTTTTAATCAAATTTTAATTAAGTATATGTATATATGTTAGTATTTTATTCAATTGTCAGCCGCCCTGAGTCCGTAAGGAGAAGGGCGGGATATAAATGCAATTAATAAATAAATAAATAAATAAATAAATAATAATAGTAATAATAATAATAATAATAATAATAATAATAATAAAGAAGCCCTGGAGGTATTGGATAAAGAGGTAAATTTATAATTGTACTTATAACTGCTGTAAAGAAGAGTAAAAGCCACTTCTTTGTAATTTTTTTCTATTTTTCTTTTATTTATTTATTTTGCATTTTTAGCTTTCTCTTTAATTTCTTGCTTTTCCTTTTCCTTTTAGATTATTTTTACTTTGTTTTTTAAAACATTTAATTTTTTTTTTAAAAAAAGGAAAGCACATTTATTGAAAATATTATGTATGCTCTATTTGATTGTCATTTATGTAGTATGCCTCAGTGAGAACCTAGTATCTACATTTACTAGTTAGAACAGTTCAATGAGTCATAAATATTAGATTGCCTGATCTCCTTTTGGGAAGTAAATATAAATGTAATTGGCAGCATTACCAAGTTTATAATTAAGGCTCCCTAACTGAGAGATTGCTTTTTTTAGAATAGATTGAGATGGTTGGAAAAGAAATGAACTTATTTAAACCTATTTTGATATAATAATTGGTCTTTTGACTAATCAATTAAAATATATGACTACTAATACTATTAAAAAGTAGCTAAAGAAGAGGGCTAATTCAGATCAGGATATTGGGATGGCATGTGTGAGGAAATAACCCAAAGCTTGGTTTTCTGCTGCAATTCAAATCTGGACCTGCTTTTTCATCTTA